TTCTCTCCCTTAGGTGTGCGCTGGGCCGTCACTCTGTGGAGACGCCCTCCGTCCCCCGCGCTCCGTGCTGACAGGGGCAGGAGGCACTCGGAGTGTTCATAAACGCACGGGCTGACCCTGGAGGATCTTGGGATTTTTTTGGTTCATCCTCACCTGAGGGTATTTTTTCCACTGATGTTTTTTAGAGAGTGGAAGGCGGGGAGGGTGGGGGGGTTGGAGAGAAACATCGATTGGTTGCCTCCCTCACATACCCTGATAGGGGCTGGGGATCGAACCCATGACCTTTGGTCCTGGGCCGCGCTCTAACCACTGGGCCACCAGCCACAGTGAGTCTCTCTGGATCTTAAGGACCAGCAGGCCTCCCCGGCTCAGGGCCCGGGCTGTGCGGAGCGGGTCAGCTAAAGAAGCTGTCACAGCACCAGGCCACCGTGTCCCGCCCCCGCACCTGGATGATTGACTGCAGCTCCTGGATCTTGGTCTTGAGCATCTCGTTCTCGCGCTCCAGCTCCAGCACCTGCTCCCTCTTGGGCCGGCTCTCGATGTCGTTCTTGAGCTTCAGGGACTGGTTCCGCTCCAGCTTGCACTCCTCCTCCATCTTGTTCAGACGGTGCTTCAGCTGGTCGATCTGCAGCCGGGGCCGAGGGGGCGGGGTTGGCAGGGCCCGAGGAGGCATCGCTCCCGGGTCCCCCTGATGCGGCCCCACCTGGGCCGCGCCCTCCCTCCTCCTTCCGTGGCGGCTGGGAAGGGCCCACAGAGCCTTTTCCAGTAAAACCAGCCGCCCCTCCCGGCTGAGGGGGTTCCCGATTCGCCATTTAGAACAATTCAAAGGCTCTCTATGTCCCTTAGAAAATTCCGGGTAACCGTGGGGTGAAACGGGTGACAGATGAGGATAAAAGATCCCCAACCGGTGTCCCCGAGGCATTAGCCATCTCGATGCCCTTTCACCACGGTCCTCAGAGCTCCCCGTGAGCCCAGCTCTGGGCCCACCCTGACTCCCCCCCAGAGCAGCCCTGCTCCCCTAGGCTTTGTCCTCGTGGGTTCACGGCAGGTTTCACTGGGAAGGACAGCGTTCCTGCTGAAAGGTCCCAGGCTCACGGGTCTAGAGGGCCTGCCGGGGGCAGTTCCAACACCTGGACACGGGGCAGCTGGACACGTGCTGGGCGTCACCGCGGGGTGAGCGTCAGGAAGTGGGGCCAGGAGACTCTCACACCTGGTGCCCAGGCGAGCCTGCTGCCCCGGACCCCGGCCTCGGCAGAGCACCCAACATGGGGGCTCGTGGTCAAGGCTGCAAGGAGGGGAGCCCCAGAGGGGGGTGTCCTTCAGTTCCAGGCTCGCGGAGAGGCGGGCATCAAGGAGTCTGGCAGGTGGAGGGCCGCGGCTTTAGCTGGGAAAGGCCAGCTCTGCACCCCCTGACCTGGGGGGGGGGGGGGGGGGGGGAGAGGCCGCAGGGGAGCAGCCTGGGGCTGAGATGTGACGAGGGACTGCCTTTCAGTTCTAGACACGCTTCCGCACTATGACCACATCTCAGGGAGGGAGAGTTCCAGCAGGGAACCGTGTGAGCCCCGCCCTAGGTTAACGTCCGCACGTGCTGGGTAGCGGGCACAGGGGTCACTCCTGCTTAGAGACCGTGGGAAAGGCCTGGTCAGCATCCTGTGCTGGGCCCGGGGCCCCAGTGCTCTGAGTGG